AGTACAAGAGGCAGTCGCAAGAGGGATCCATGACCCTTCTTAAAAACACAGAGATGTGCACCAACCCCGTGAAATTAAGGGTTGCTCTGCTGTAAAGGCAGGTGAGAATCATGGATCCAAGCAAACATGATGGCAAATGCTAGTATAGAAAGGTCTGAACTAAAAGAACGAAGAAGGGGATATGGTTATGAATATACAAAGGTGACGAGGAAATGTTCTCTGCATTGTATTGTATGTACAGTGTAAACCAATAAGGCATGGGATGCTATCCGATTAATAAGGATTTCAGCTTTGTTCTTCCTGACTTTAAATGCCGCCCTGTGTTTTCTTCATGTTTGTGCAAATTAGTGTCGTCATGAGCTCCTTCACACATATCTCTTAACCTTCAGCTACGTGACAAGAGCACATCAGGTGTTAGAGATGTTTAAAAACAAAGAAGATGGGGGTCATCTCTCAACACAAACATGATTTTTACTTGAAAAACATGAGAAATGGTCATTCATATTTTAAATTCCATTTTTACTTTCCACAACAAATACTTATCAGTACTTTAGTGACCATCCATGCTTACGTCTTACCTTCCTAGCATCTGCCTTTCCTTCTCTGGCCTTTTGGAATCACTCAGTAACTGACTCTTCATTCTGGCTTTGTCTTGGTCTTGACTGCGCACTTGTTTCATCTGTCTTTTTATTGTTCTGGCCATCGTGCTACGGTATATGCTGTATCTCACCGCACACAATACCTTAGGGGCAAATATTATATTTCATGCTTTTATAACACATTCTCTGCAGGTAATAAGGCAATAAAATATGAATGGCGTCATCCTATTTTCCCCATTCTTCTAAAAACTAGAATTTTTTGAAAGTTAAACTGTAAAGAAGAGGGTCTAGTAAGATGTAAAATTTTGCATCTCCTTATAAATAAAATGAGATACATTGATTTGTGTCCAAAATTGTCTTGTGAAAATAAGATTATTATTCACTTCGGCCTTTATTAATTTTCATTCCTAGAAAAAAGGAATTATATGTAGTTTTCTGGCTAAGAATCCTCCTACGCTTTACAAGTAAAGTAGCAGCATGAGGTTGAGAATTGTGACAGATTGTACTTTTCCGAAGATGGCTGTTCCCGTATATAGACCTCTTACAGTGTGCCATTCCTCAATTGTATGAGTCTTCCTTTTTTACCTTCGTGGACCTTTGTAACTGCCTCCACCAAAAGAGTACAGCAGAACATGGCTGTCTAACTTGCCAAGTCCAGCCTCCATTTCTTCCTGAGACACACATATTTAAAGCTCTAAGTCACTCTGTAAGAAATCCAGCTGTAATGAAAGTGTGATTATTTTGATGCAGTTTGACCCGAGGGTTCATGTGTTGGAAACGTGGCCTCCATAGTGGCAGTGTTGGAAGATGATGTGGAATCTTCAAGAGGTGGGAAAACTGGTGGGAGGTCCTGAGGTCACTAGGGGATTACAGTGGCCCTAAAGGGACCCCCAGCCCTCACAAGAGGGAGTTGTTATAACAGCAAGCCTGACTTCTGTGTTGCTGTCTGGCTCCCTGGGTAGCGATTCGATTCCTTGCTCCCATAAGTGTTCTCACCACAAGCCACCATCACGGGATCCTCATCAGGGGCCAACTCCATGGGGCTACCCAAACTGGGACATTTAGCCCTAAAACTGTGAAATTAATATATTTTTGTAAAGGAGCCTGCCTAGGGTAGTTTGTTACAGTAATGAAAAACCTGACTAATATAGAAACTTTAATGTCACAGAGACCGCTTTGAGATAAAGATGTTCAAGAAACCTCAGCTGTTCTAGTTCTCAGTCTTATGAGTCTTCCTCAGCAAGCCTTGAGACAGGTGAGCCAGAAATCTTCAGAAGAATCCAGCATACAGCCATGAACTGTAGCATGGAATCCACTGTGGTGATTACAAAGAAAATGAGCTATCTCACAAAACCCATGTCATTCTGCTGATCTTTGTGACATAAGCAAAATGAAGACCTTTTAAACCTCTGAGCTTTGGGGTTGTCATACAGTCACCGTCACAGGGATATCCACTTCTCTGTACAGTTGCCCTCATTTGAGCAAATATGGCAAAGAACAGCCACGTAGTTCACACTTTTGCTCATACAGTTCTTAAGATACTCTGAAATGCTGACGTGCTGGTCATTAAGGCAACCAATGAGTGCAGAATGGTAAGAGAAGCAGTCTTGGCCCCTGTGCAATTGAAAGGGCTGGAAATATCCTGCAGTCTTACAAACACCTGCCTCCATGGGAATTATTAGAAAGGTCAAGAAGAAAGCCATCGGTTTGGAAATACCTCATCTTCCCTCCCTTAGAGGGACATGCACTTCTACTGATCAAATCTTGTGTACAGGAAGACCCCATGCCAACCCAGCCAGAATTTTCACTAAAGGGCAGTAGGGAATAACCAGAGATAAAATGACAATGTGGTGATCTAATGTTTCTCAGTCATCTTTTTCTCAGTATTGAATTGTATGTAACAGATACTGCATTGGGGTAATAATTAACATTTTAATTAACATTTTAAGGCATTTTGGAACCTTTGGGTCAGATTGGTCAGAAAGGTATAATTCTCAGATAACCTTAACATAGCTTGATATAATGGGTAGTTGATGCTGAGGCTTTCAACTCATATTTATAGTATAATTGGGATTGATTTCAACTTTCTTCAGATGCAATATACTTCTCATAAATAGCAAAGCCAAGAAAAAAAATTAGGGAATCTTTGTACTTTCTCGTTATGTGAATTTAATCCACATGGAAGCTCTAATATTCTTCTCTATACCGTGATAAACCTCCAAACAGCTAAGAAGTTTTATTGGGAGGCTGAATCATATTATTCCATTTAGATTATTTCAGCATTAAGGGATATGGTTTATTCACGCTGCAGATGATCAAACCGTGTGGTCAGGTTAATGCTAAAACTGACAAATGCTGTGCCAGATTTGAGTGTATATGGGAAATTTTAATTAGAAGTTTATAAAACTCTGAAAAAGCTCCAAAGGGTTTATCCTTATGAATGAACTTAAAACAAATCTAGAGCTAATATATTAGCTAATATGCAGGCAGTGATTAAGGGAAAACAGGTGGCTGGTATAATTTCCACAATGGTCTTTTTTTAAGGCTGGTTGTGGAAGCCAACTCCAGTTGGCTGCAGAAAGTTGTTTGTACTCAACAAAGAACAATCAGGAGTGTGCTTCACTCTGTCAGAGAATGCAATGTGCTCTTAAGCTTGATGCTGCTTTTGTCTGACAGACGTTTGACTTCAACTCTACAAACTATTTTTAGATGTTTACTTCTCCCGCTATTAATTTATAATCATTTCGCTTTCTTCACAGATCTGTCAGTGAACCTGACTGACTAGAAGATTACAGGAGCAAAAGAAGCATTGTTCAAGGAGAAAGAGGGAGCAAGAGAGACTAGGGACACTCGTTATTGATTGTGCACACGGGAGCGACCTTTATTCCCCCTTGAAAGCATCTTACCAAGTTGCTGTGAGATGTTCAGTGACTATTACCATGGAGTAACCCCCCAGCTATAAAGGGGTTTTAATAGATGCAGTAAAATATTTTTAAAATATGCTCTAAGAGAAAGATAAATCCAGCGTGATTCACATAAAACCTAATGCATTATGTACAGTCTGTACTTGATGAATGCATTACTTATAAAATATACATTCATAAGTCCTCCTTTCTTATCAATAAAGCAATCAAGCTGAGCATAAGATTACTCGGTAATTCAACTCCTTCCAATATAAAAATATAATCACATTATCTTCTTTTTAAATCATGCTCAGATGAAAAGAAACAAGAGGTGGCTAGTTTAATATTTCATTGTTTAAAGTATTTTGTATTTCGCCTACTAATATTACTGCACTCATTTTTTGTCTTTTATGTTTCCCAGCATAGAAAAGAAAAACAGAGCAGCTTTTTTCCTTCTAACCCAGGAGCTAATCTTAAAGTATAATACACATCAGTAACTGAGACTGGTTAGCGTTATCCTGAAGCATTCAGGGGCTTTTTGTTCTACCAAGATGATATTTTCATTAGTGGTAAATGGACATAATGCTAGTTCCTGAGCTCTAAAGCAGTCTGACCCTGTGTTTGTTTCTTTTAATATTCCTCTTCATTTGTCAGATTGAAGAGTTCGTACCCACTGTATGACATGTTAGGCATCCAAATCCCATTTCTCTGGCACAGTTTGCCCAGAGCATTTCTTACTCAGAATGAGGATTAAATTGGGTAGTGATAATATAGTCCATCCTGACCCACTATTTTTCATTTAGATAAATGATCTCTTAACTTTTCAGTGTCTCCTACCCCTGTATTTTTTTCAAGCTCCACTCTATTGATAACCAACTATCAGGTTAACTCAGGTCTGATTCTTTCCAGCATACCGTGGGCACATTCTACAGAGTGCTTGAAATGATAATAGCTTCTTCTTTTTTTTTTTTTTTTTTTTTTC